CGCAAACACGTTTGTGTTATCATGCCAAACTAACATCAAGAAAATCATATCCTCCTTTGAATTTATGTATTAAAACAGCATTAACTAAACTAAAATAAGCATGAGTTTGCTGTGTACTCACGTGATGTTCATCAGGGTCTTCAGGCAGGCAATGTCATCAGTGATGTCATCGTCTGTCAAAGCTTGTGTGCAATGGAGAAAAAGAGTTCAGAGCTCTTTTCTTTGTTTTTAAACATTCACAGCGCTCCCTTGCTCTTTGTATTTTTCAGTGCAGAAATGAAAAACACTCACCAGAGCAGGTCGTGTTGCAGACATTGAGAGATGGGTTCATGCCGGAATCACAGGCCCACTGATCACTGAGCTGAAACACACCATACAGGTGCCTGACAACTTTGGTGGCAGTGTTTGGCTGCGTCTCGTGGCCGGAGCCCTGGGGTCCTTTCGTGGGAGCATGTGCATGGGGCTTAGGTGTAGCTCCAGCTGGAGCCTGAGGTGGAAGCCGAGATGATGGAGCTTGAGGTGGACCTCCAGATGATGGAGCCTTAGGTGGAATTTGGGATGCAGCTTGAGGTGGGGCTTGTGATGGCTTCATCTCCTTATTGTGGACCGTGGTGTTTTTGACAAAGCTGGTGTTGAAGGCTGAGCTGCTGGCCTTGCAGACAACTGCCTCAGAAAGGAAGAAAGACATAGATGAGGGTCATTTCTGCACATAACCTGACATGAAACAGTGCAATTTGGCTTCCTGAAGACGGAGGGAGAAGCTGAAGAACAATAACTCACGTCTAGTGATGAGACTGTTCACGGTTATTGTCTCTTCCATGACGGTGATCTGCTGAAACTGAGCGGCATCCAGCTGGGCCTTCAGCTCACATTTATTCAGGATCCTTCCCTCAGTCACACTGGACACTAGCAGTGCCAGAGCAAAAGCCGCCAACATCTTCACTGGGTTTACGCTCTTCATCTCTCTCTGTTTGGAAATCTGGAAATTAAATGTGTCCAGTTAATCCAGAGAACTCTGATTGCATCTTCAAGCAGAGCCAATAACAGATTACAAGTATTCAATAATTGCATATTCATGAATTAATAGCTTTGATTGGGGGAAATAAAAATATCTTTAGAATTTTAGTTCTGATCTTGCACAAAAAAAAATCTTTATTTATATAGATTTTTTTTTATTAAAACTGAAGTATAAACTAGTTTGAGCCAATATATATGAAATATTTTGTATATATTGTATATGTATAAAATATGTTTGTTTTGGTTTTGTGTAATATACATTAATAAATTATGATTGTATATATATATATATATATATATATATATATATA